GGGTTCTTGAGTAATGCTCCCATAGAAAGGATTATGTACGGGGGTTCTCTGAGTAAGGACTCTTGAGTCATATTCCCGTAGTAGGGCTTCTTGGTAAGGTCTTGATTCGGACTCTTGAGCAATATTTCTGAAGTAAGGCTTCGTCATTACTTCTCTCTTTGTAAGGGCTCTTGTGTAATAGTCCCGTAGTACGGTTTCTTCATTCAGGTTCTTTTAGTGATAATTTTTTGGAGTAGTATTCCCATATTACGGATTCTTCAAGCGGGTTCTTTGAGTAAGTACTCTTGGGTAAGAATCCCGCAGTAAAGTTTCTTTAATGAGGTGCTCTTAGTATGGACCCTTGAGTAAGAGTCCGGTAGTAAACAACTCTTAAGTTGGGTGCTCTTAGTAGGGACTCTTGAGTAAGAGTCCCGTAGTGGGGATTCTGCACAACAGGTTCTGTCAGTAAGGACTGTCGAATCATATTTCCGTAGTGAAGCGTTCTAACGGAGGTGCTGTTAAGGCTTCTTGAGCAAGAGTCCAGTAGTAGGGCTTCTTGGGTAAGGTGCTGCCAGTAATAACTCTTGGGTAATTGTCACGTAGTAAGGAATCATCAGTCCGGTTCTATTTGTAAGGCCTCGTGAGCAATATGCTTATTGTTTGAATTTTTTATTCAGCTTCCCTTAGTGTGGACTCTTGAGTAGCATTCCCGCAGTACAAGTTCTTTACCTAGGTGCTCTTACTTAGGACTTGTCTGTACGAGTCCCTTAGTAAGGATTCGTCGTTCATGTTCTCTTAGTAAGAACTTTTGAGTGAGAACCCCATGAAAAGGATTCTGAAATGGGGTCCTCTCACTAATAGTTTTTGAGTGAGACTTCCATAGTAATGATTCTGCATTCGGGTTCTTTAAGTAAGAGCTGGTGAATAATATTCCCGTAGTAAGGCTTCGGTTCTCTTAGTAACGAGTTTTGAGTGTAGTAAAGACTCTTGACTGAGGTCTCCTAGTAAGGATTATGTAGTAAGGGTTTTACATCGGTGACTTCTGCTTTAAATTTTTGTAGCCAGGACAATTGATTGAAAGGTTCTTCAGTAGGGATTCCTCGTTGTGGGATAAGTAGATGCCGAGCTTGCGTGGGGACGACACGGCCTGGGACGTTTCGGCTCTTGCAGGCGCCTGAGCCTCTTCGATGGTATCTGGCAATCGAATCAATTCCCACTGGAGGCTGGCCCGGAAGCCGGTGCGATGCGATGCGGTGCTTCCCCCCCATCCCCAAATGGGGCGTCCGAAACCAGGCGTACCTCCTGTGGGGAGCGACGGGGAAGCTCGCCCCATTGGAAGGCGCTCAGAAAGCGGGCGTTCCCTTGTTATTGTTGTTGTTGTTGTTGTTGTTGTTGTTGTTGTTGTTGAATTCTCATTTCGGGAGAAATCATGTTTGACCCCTCCCTCGGGTGACCATTGCATTTTTCAATCAAATTGCTCCTCCCTGGGCTCGCATCCTGTTGTTTACAAGGGGAAGTTGGGTGTCACCAAAATGGCTCCCTGGCCCCTGGATTGCAATAACAACGGCTCCCTCCTGACATTTCTTCTCAAATTATTCCCAAATTGTGCTCTCGCGCGGGACTTCCTCACAGCTTATGCAGGAATCGCGCTCTCGCGTGGGACGTCCTCACAATTTATTCAGACGCCGCGCCCTCGACTTTCAGGAATCACGCTCTCGCCGTGGCATTTCTCACGATTTACTTAGGATCGCCAGGCGAAGCGAGCCGGGCGAAGCGAGCCGTGCGAAGCAAACCCTGGGCGAAGCGAACCCTGGCGAAGCGAGACGGGCGAAGCGAGCCGGGCGAAGCGAGCCCGGGCGAAGCGAGCCGGTGGGCGAAGCGAGGCCCGGGCGAAGCGAGCCCGCGCCGCCTCTTCTCCCTCCCCCTCTTCATCCCCTTCAAGCAGGTTGATCCGATGCGGGAATTTATACATGACCACCGCCTGGAGGGTCAGTTTTCGAAGCCTCGGCAGGCGGTGGATATGGACATATTCGGGCCCCCAGGGGCCGAAATATATCCATATCCACCGCCCGCTGGGGCACCAGGAAGTCGGTTCCCAGGTGGTGGATATGGAGAAATCCCCGCCTCGCGGTTGAGTGCGGGTTTTGTTTTTTTTTGCAAGGTCTCGCGGGGGGCTGTTGTGGCGACGCTGAGGAGGGAGTCGGCGGCTGTGAGCGGCGGGGGCCTCTCAGCGAACAGTGTTTCTTTGTGACTGCGTGGGCCTCACTCTCCACTGGCTCTGCGTGCCGATCAACCCGAAATACGACTGGACTCCTCTAGCCGCTGGTCTGTTCGCTAACCCGGCCCGCGCCATCCAGCCCAGAGTACAGTCAACCCGCATGGTGAGGATGAGCAATTTTCCCAAGGGTACCCGTGCATCCTTGCCTCCTCGGCCCATCCCTGGCCGCTTTCGCTGGCCGCGCCCCGCTGGCCAAGTGGCGACATGGCCTTCCGAGGCCGTTGCGTCCTTACCGTGCATCCTTGCGTTACGGGTTGGCTGCGCCCCGCTGCTATCCGACCATGTGCTCCCCCAACCGTTGTGGATCCCTTCGTGGAACATTTGGGGGAGGATGGCGGGGAAGATCACGAGGAGGAGGGGGAGGAGGAGGAGGAGGAGGAGGAGCCCAGAGTACCCCGACGCGAGGAGTGGGTGCGGGGCAGCCGGCCTCACTGACACGCTGCCCCGCGCGGCCCAGAAGCAGGCGAGCTGGCCAGGCGCTCCGCTCCGTGGGCCAGAGGTGGGAGGAGCGGAGGCGTCGTGGAGGGAACGGCAACAATATTAGGGTTAAGTCGGGCATGTCCCTGTACAGGAGGAGCATGTTTGACATTTCTAAATTTTTCTTCAGAGTCCGCCTGTAGGAGGACATGCCTGACCTGCGGCGAATTACCCGCGCCCCCTGCCTCTTGGAATCGCCCATTTGGATCGAGACTCGAGACCCACTGGCTGCAATTTCTGTCCAAACTGGCTCGCCCGATTCGGTTCAACAGTCGAATGCTGACCAGGTAGTCGCGCGGATTAAGTTGAGAAGTACCCATCATGGTTGCCGAGAGAGACGTTTGCCCGCCCGGAGATGTGCTAGGCTCAAAGGCATGTGCCTGGTTGATTTTCTCGCGGGAGCAGATGCATATTGCGTGCTGGAGAGAGGCTCGGGTTTTGAGCGCGCCGCTGGGGCGCGGCTCGTGATCCAGCGCGGCGGAACTTCCTAGATCCCAGAGTCTTGCGCCCAATCAGTCGCGACGCCCGACAAGGGCGCGCCCTGGTGGCTAGTTCGGCCCCGTCGTGTCGGACTTTTCCATTGCCTGGGGTAGAACTGAAAAGATCAGGTCTCGAGAGAGACTGTGGGGCCTGCCCGGAAGTAGGTTTGGCCCGGGCGACAGGGATATTGTTTTCTCTTGGTAGTCGCTGGCTCGTGCGGCTGTGGGTTTGCATGCTTTTTTCAATCAGTTGAAAGTCTCATGTGCCACAGAGCATCCGCTCACATCTCGATTATGGTATACAGCAGAGATCTATGCCTGTGCGAATTTGCCTCATGTAAGTTTTGTTGAACTTGGCCAATGCCAATTCAAAGCTCAGTAGAAGAAGCCGACTCGTCTTGCGTTTTGTCATGCAGAGATCGGCGACCCTGTGTATTTGCGTAGAAGATGTCGTGGTCGAAGTGGTATGTGCTTGTTCTCTGCGCGCCCCCACCTTGAACTTGGGGGGGGCGTCCGTGCTCGTCCAGCCGCCGCTGGCCCCCCAGAGCTCGCGCATTGTATAGTCCGTGCCCTCGCGGCCTCGAGCGTTGCCAAGTTCCGATATGACAATGCGCCCCCCCCTACCCGTCAACTGTGAAGTCCCGATTTTGGGAAACTCGGGAGTCGCGGTTTTAATCTCTGGTCCTGACGTCTCGAGGCTGTCGTCATAACTGTATTCCAGCTTTGTAGAACCAGTTGCTCTAGATGTTCTCGAACGGTTTGAATTTGAGCTTTTGGAAGTCGTTGATGCGTGCCAGTTTTAAGACCACCTACTAAACGATCCAGGGGTATTCAACATGGGAATGCTTTCTCTCACTTTGCCCGTTTCTTTCGTCCATGGCCTGTCTTCGGCTTCCGCCCTCTCTGCCTGGGAGGATCCAGAGTGCGCGTTTGATTGTAACCTCTGGCCGTGACGTTTCGAGGCTTGCGTCAGACTTGTATCACTGCTACGAGAAATAGTGGCCCTGGTCATAACAAGAAGAAGGCGTGGGGGTCGGGGGGGCATTTTTTGGGGGCAGGGGAGGTCAGGGCGAAGCGGCCAGGGCGCGCCCTTCTACCGCGCGAGCAAGGGACGAAGTTGCGTCGCAGAGCCGACGCAGAGGAGGTCACGGACATTCGACCACGTCGACTGGGGAATTCTTCTCGCATGTGGTCACTGATGCATCTCCTGTTTCTTTCTCTCGCATGTGTCGCCGATCGGCCCATCGAATCTCCCGCCCAAGACTGCATCTTCTGGCCCGCTCACGTCATTTTTGTTTGCTATTGTCATCTTTCCGGTCGTGCTGCCCATGTGTTTAGCGTTGACCGACGATCACATGCCGATGGCCCAGCATCGCCATTACATCGCGTTCGATACATATCATTTGTATAGTATCCATATACCGTGGGGTGCTGAAAACAACAATCGGCCAAAACTACGAGAGCAAAGCTGCCGACCGTAGAATCACCCCTGTGTGACCCCCCTTTCTCTCCCTTTACCTACTCCTGCTCCTCCTCCCCGTCCCTCTCTCGCGCTGCTTGAGTAGGAGGAGGAGGAGGAGGAGGAGGAGGAAAATGAGGAAGAGGAGGAGGAGGAGGAGGAAGAGGAGGAGGAGGCGGAGGAGGAGGAGGAGGAGGACGAGGGGGAGGAGGAGGACGAGGAGGAGGAGGAGGAGGTTCCCCCTTCTCCCCCTACCCTTCCCTCCTCGTCCTTTTTCGCCCTCCGCCTCCACGTGCGCCCCGCCTCTTCTGCTGCCCCCCCACTTCAG